TGAGATATCATAATGAAAATAACTTTTGATATAACCAAGTCACTTTTGATGAAAGTTCTAACAAAGTTGCACAATATGACCTAGATGTCACAATAAAGTGTAAGAATGTTTTCATTTAGCTACGTTAGATGGTGAATGACAAAGTTCTATATGCAAAACTTGTATCATGAAGTAAGTGCAAATTCAGAAATTCTATATAAAACTGTAGCATTGACAATATTTCTTTTAAAAAGCAGATATTCTAAAATATAAATATGAATTTAGGTTGATAGGCAAAACAGCCCAAAGACAAATATATAGACCATTTTATTTTTCCAGAGAGGTCATGGCGCCCACCATCAAACTACTGTCTTATATTTGAGGGAGGGTTTTTGACTTTTGACTTTGACTTTGTGTATTTTTTTCAAAATGATAGTAATATTTAAATTCCAATAAGAAGATGTTTGAAATTTTATGAAGATTGTTTAAGTACTTTTGTCTTCTGACTTCTCTGAAAGTGGACTGTGCCTAATGATACCCTAGGGGGAACCTGTCTGTGAAATTTCATGAAGACTCCTTTAATACTTGTTGATATTTAGTGATAACAAAAATTGGTAAAGGGCGGACAGACTATATATATTGACGAAAGGAGGATGGACGGACCAAGGGGGCAGGGTGATTTGTAGTTTTGAGTGGCAACCCATAATTTGCACGAACCACTCTATAAACCACATTTAAGTCAGAACTTGAATGTGGTTTTAGATTTGCCAGCGGGTTTGAACATCCAAAGCAGTAAATTAATTTATCTACAGAGTACAATATACCATGTTGTGGTCTGACCAGTATGCGTCCAGCACACCTGTTTGTATGTTGGCAACATTAGAAAAAACAAAAATTAAATTTTGTGTCAGATTTTGTTGTTGATTCTTGAATTAACTGATTACAGTGGAAAATGGTAAGCATGTATTCTAGGAACTGCGTATTAGATTGGTTTAAGTCTATATTGAAATCTCCAGTTATCACAATATCTTGTGTTGTATCTAAAAAGGGAGAAAAGTTGTTCTTGAGTGCTGTATACAACACATGTGAAGGGCATGATGGTTTCTTATATAGAGCAACAAACTGAACTAATTTTGATGAGCACCTAACAGACACTTTGGAGTACTCAAATTCTTTAGTTGTACATGCATGGAAACTTTCAATTTGATGAGAATTTTTTACATACACAACAATACCATGATGAGGTCTCAAATAGGAGGTTTGATGGGCATCAGTGCGAATAATTTTGTATCTGTCAAGTGAAAACTGTTCATCAAAATCTCTTGAAGAAAGACGTGATTCTACAATACCAATGACATCAGAGGCATGAACATTTGGATCAGATCTAATGTCTTCAAAATATTTATTAAGAGACTTAGCATTGTTGAACAGAAATTTGCTTTAATAGTGTAGATTGGTTCAATTCATCGGCTTTTAAGCGTTGCATTTGCTTTGCAGCAACACCAATTTCTGGACCAATGTCATAGTCTCTATCATTGTAAGAATCTGGATCAAAATGAATGAATTCTTCAGATGGTTCACACCCAGTATCTGCATCTTAAGCCTCAATATGTTCTGTATTTGGAGCGATATTATCAAAGTCTTCGATATCCATTTCAACTTGCAGTCGCGCGTTTTCAAGTTCTTCAATACCGTGTTGATATTGTTTTTGCTTTACACGAATGTTTGCCAAAATGTCGTTTTCTTCATTTCTCCATGGGAGGAACAGCAGAATTTTTTCTCTGTGACAGCGTGTGCCAAACTTTTAAAATCTCTACAGGTCATTCGGGCAGTTAACCAAAAATTTCTACAGGTCCGAAATAAATTTTACAGGTCCGAAAATTTAGTTCTTTTGGAGTGCTACAATTTTCAGATTTTCTATTGTGCAAATTTCGACTATCATCTGTTTAGGCCCTTTATTTTGGTCTCTTGCTCCAAACTGACTTTGCAGATTTTGCCTTTGTTTAAATCTTTTTGCCCCAAGTGTTTTATAATAGAAATAAATGTAAACGCACAGTGATAGTTTTATGTTTTTACTTCTGTCAGATAAGTACGTGTGATTTATTCTCTAGTGAATAAAAAGAGATTGTCCCGACAGGACTCCTCCGACATCCAACCATCACACCCTTCTTCCTCGTCATCGATGTCTTTTGCAATTCCATTTGAAACAGAGTTTAAGTCAAATGCCACATCGACCTCCTCTTCAGTAATATCATATGTTGGACCCTGATCTGCTTCAGTATGAGCTCCCTCAAGGTCATGGCCAGGTCCTTGTACAGCTTGATTTGAATTCAGTTTCCTTCTGCAGTAAACCAGAAAATCTGCACATTATATATATAATTAGTGTGCAAGACTGCCAACTACTATATTGAGCTGAATTTTACCTTAGGATCTAGCTTAAAATAAACTTTATATTACCTGCCACCTGTCGATGGAAGCCTCCGGGTTATAATCCTGAATGGAAGGGCTAAGAAGCTTTACTGTCAGTAGATCATTCAGTGTTGATGTGTTCATCCTGGTCCTCCGACTGGTTTTTATAAGCTTCATTTGAGAAAAAGTTGTTTCACAACTAACACTAGTGGGAGGAATACAGCTAAGAAGATCCACAACCAGCATCACGAACGGAAATTCGTTATCGTACACATCACCCCATGACATTTTGTGAAGCTTGTCTTGATGATTATAAATACAACTAATAATTTTTATAAAGAAGGGACTTTGTAGTTTACCTCCTGTAAAAAAACTCTTTTCAATAGTTTGAATTCCATCAGTGCATCATTCTTTATGAAAGCTGGGTTGGCTCTGGACAGTGTCCCATGAAAATGGTCTGCCACAATCCCAACTTCCTCTTCACCAAAGTCTGTAAAATAGAAAAATCTGAACTGTTATTAACACAAGATTTATTTAATCATATGATCAATTACATACCACGGGCATTGATTATCTCATTATCTATAATACAGTGGATTCTACTAGTAGTCAGTGTTGTTCGTTATAATATTTTACTCATGCACCAAATTTATTTGCCTCCATACAATTTTTATAGCAAAATATGTTTACGATATAGAATAAACTCAGAAATCACCTGTTGTCAAAACAAAGTGCACAGTTTTTATGCTCCAATGTTATAATCTGTGCAATATAATTATCTCGTTAACTGACGAACTTCGTATCACAAAAAGAGGATTCCATTATAATATATAACCACCAAAATGAAAAACAAAATAACCACTGAAATGAAAAACAATAGAAATAATTTTAAAAAAACACAGCAGATAATAAACAAAACTGAACTTTGGAACTAATTAATCAGTGTTGTTAACCTTGAATGTCTGAAGATTCTGCATAGGACCATTTCTGAAGGTGCAGAAGTTTTGTGGCTTTGGCAACATGTTGAGGTCCAGTAGTGAGTTCAAAACGAACTTTGAGTGCTGGTACGAGACCATCAATAATGCTCTCCTTGTAGCTCAATTTCAAGGATGCTTTATTTCCTTTCAGATTTAAGCCATATAGTTTGCCAATCTCCAGGACAGACGATAATATCTCAGGTTTTTCTATTTTTCTATTTTCTATAAATTCCTAAAGGTAATTATTTTAATATAATGTTTGATATAAAATATTCCTGTTCTGAATTTTATATTCTAAATGATGACCACTTATTTTTTTCTCTCCTAAGAAGGAAATTCACTGAACAAAGGTAATTACCACTGAATCCTACGGAAAATGATGGAGTTGCTGTACCTACCTTTATCAATTCCAGAAGCCTGAAAGCATTCCATCGCAATTTTTTAGATATTTCGAACATGTGCTCTCTGGTGTCCAATACAAAGAAATCTCTCTGTTACGATCTCTTTATGTGCTGTTCAGATATATACTTCTTCCTGTTTGTCTCCAGTTAAATTGGTTGAACCGTCCATCATGAACGAAAAGAAATGTCCCTTTTCAATCATTGATACTGTCTTCCCTCATTCAATATCAGATATTGTTTTCACAAATTTAAGAGCAGCCTTTCCATTCAAGTAAGTATCCCCAATGTGAAGTTCTTTGGCTTTATCAAGGTCACATAACCATGTAATCTCTTAGAGGTCTGTTTTTTATTACAGCGTGCACATTTCTAATTAAATACTTCAGTGGACCTCTCTCTGCACAACTCAACTGTCTCATGGCTTTACCTGCTTGGGTATCAGTTATAAGTTTTTCCTTTGGTCTGTTTTTTGCTGTATACCAATCTTTTGCTGCAAACGCATATTACTGCACCCCTTGATGAAAGAGTTCTGGCCCTTCAAGTTATTATTTACATGTACCCCAAGCCTGCTGCCAAATGCAACACAGAATGTACAACTCTACCTCTTGTTGCTTCGTCGTGTTTAAGCCAAGGCCTACCTTTGGTCCAGCACTAGGAGGGCATTTTTTCGATCTCAGCTCTTAACTGTAATTGTTCTTCCTCCATTTGTAGAGCCTTTAATTCCGAGGATAACATTGCCATCTGACGATCATGCTGGGCTTATTGCGCCGGCACATCCTCGCAGTACTTTACCGTACCGGGTGTGTCCTTTGTCTTTAATGTCGCCTTTTCCGGAATGGTAGTTGCGTTCTGCTGGTGATAGCTTTCACGAAACAAGCACTAGTCAATATTCCCTATAACACGCAGAAAAATATCATCGGACCACAGTCACTAAGAAAGACTATCGGTTTTCTTCATACACACAGTCACTAAGAAAGTCTGTAATCTTTGATTGTTGACGGACACGTGTCTTCAGCAAGTTCATAGAAATTTTTCCGGAGATGTAAGTCATCATGGTCAAAAGTTTGTCAGACTCCTTGGAGTTCTCCAAATGCGTCATGATGGTGTCGCAGGCATCGCAGACGGCAGTAGATGAAGGGTTAGGTCTGGGTGATGGTGTAGAATCGTCATCGCTGTCATCATTATCGGCGGGCTGTTGCTGCTGCTGAATGTCACTGATAATGTCGTCGTCGGTCATTTACTCACTGGTTGGTGTGTCGGCGTTGACTGAAACAAATTCCTCAAACGTGCATGGCAGGCGGGCAAGTCTAGCCAGAGGAATGTCGTCTTCATCATTTTCGTCGTCGCTCTCTTCGGTTGTTGGTGTTGGCGTAGTGGTGATCCCAGCATGGAGAAAGCAGTTCTGAATAGTCCTTTCTGTCACTCCATGTCTCCAAGCATAGGCCAGCATCCGTAGGGCGTCGAGGACGTTGATATCTGGAGTGGTGTTGTTGTCCGCTGCCTCGATGTATTTTACAAGGACTCATTAGTGGACTTTGAGGTTCTGAATGATTCCTTGGTCCATCGGCTGGGTCTTACTGGTGGTGTTGGGTGAGAGGAACATCAGCTCGATCGCTTTCAAAACGGTTATCTTCGGGTGGGCAGGGTAGTTGTCAATGATCATGGCGATCTTCCAATGCTGTCGGTCAAACTTCCGGTTTAGGTTAGAAAGCCAGTTTTTTAATAGATCACCAGTCATCCAGGCTTTCTTGTTGGCAAGGTAGGGGAGCGGCAAGGTTTTCACGCTCTTAAAACACCTAGGACGAGAAGACTTTCCGATGATCAATAATGGTAGCTTCTTAGTTCCGTCCATGTTGGGGCAGAGAAGCTCTCCTAAAGTTGTTGACCAATTGTAATGAAACTTTTTACAGAATTGTTAGGGATCATGTGTCGTGTGTAGATGTTTAGTTTGCATTTCATAAAACCTCATTTATTCCCAAGCCAAATTAGTGGTTGCCATGGTAACCAGTCAATATAAATATGATTTTGTAAGAAAGAAATTGTTTGGACAACGCCACCAAACTACTTAATCAGTTTAAAAGAGAATGTAAAATCATTCAGTTTTCGAGAATGCCACTAACTTCAAGCATATAAGTTACGTTAAGTGGGGTATTGCTGAATTATATTATTTTTGTCATAAACCAGGCACTGAACTATTGCGGAAGCAATTAAGAGGGAGCTGTGCCGAGTGTGTTTGCATGGAAGCCACATCTGGATACGATAGCAGAAAACCATCTAGCAAAGCGACTTTGTGTGCGTAATGCAGAAAAAGAGCTCAGATCACCCAGTACAGTTTCTGTTGTTGAAGCCAATATCAACCTACTCCCAGATCCCTCTAGTGATATAAACGTTGGCTGTGAAGAGTTTGTGATATCTGAATCAGTATCGACGGATAGAGAATAACCTGTTCAGCAGCTTCCTCCCTAGTTTACCAATTCCTTTTCACAAACACCAACATTACCAATTCTTACTGTGGAACAGTTTGTAAATGATGCTGGATTGCTTTTTTTACACTGGTTTGTCTTCATACCAAGATTTTCAGTTTGTGTTATTTTGTCTTGGTGATTGTGTAAATCATTTAAACTATATTTACAATAAGATAGAAAATGTTAGTATTGCAAATCAACTGTTTTTGACCTTAATTAAGTTGCGATAGAACCAATTTTGAGCTCAGTCGTCTTTTTTTCAAATTTCTGAAACCTCTGTAGCTTATATTTGGATAACCAGGTTTAATTTCATGTATCGGCAATGGCAAGAGCTGCCATGGTGGCCTGAAAGAAATAAAGTTCGTTATTTTTGTCTTACTGACTTTCGGTCAAAGTTTCCCACTACTACAGTGACTGTTGACGGAACAGAGTGCCCTGTTAAAAAAACCTAGGCCTCCTGTTGCTTAAGGAGGGTCAGTTAGTGACCGCCAAATTGTTGAAAGGAGCAATTTGTTAGCCATGTGTGATTTATTTGCTGGTGGAGATTTCGCTGTAAACATCCCTACATTTTTTAAAAAGAAAAACAGGATGACAGGTAAGATTGTCCTAAGAGACAGGAAAATATCCAGCAAACGGGTTCATGTTGAAAGGATCATTGGCCTTGCAAAGACGTACAAAATTCTAGCAATGCCAATGAACCGTACCCAGACAAAGCTTTCCAGTGAAAATATTTTTGTTTGCTTCATGCTTTGTAATTTTAGAAAGTGTCTTTTGCCTAGACATGCTTAAAAAATTGAATGTATATACCTTGTATAAGCATTAACTTTGAATTTCAGTTAGTCTCTCCCTTTATACAATTTTGAATCCCCTCTCTTAGGATGCTTCCATCCAAATATGATTGATAGCCTTCATTAGTTCATTTGGCTCTGCCCCTTAGCCCTTTTGGGGATAATCCCTCCATTTTTAGCCCACCGTCATCAAATCGCCTTTTCAGTCCGTCATCTGTTACTCCTTTAACAATTCATGTTACTATTTCAGAAAAGTACTAGAGCAGATGTGTTATTCTCAAATTTCATATGAAGATTCTCCTTGGACCCTGGTTGTGTGTTGTGCCGTTTTTTGACTGACAAACAAAATGAGGCGGCCATCTTGGATTTTGACAGCAATTAATTGCGGAAATTGTTGACAGATGGATGCTACAGTACGGCAATATAGCTTACATTGGTCCTACAAAGAACTCTCATTTGGAAAAAAAAAATTATCAGAAGAATAGAAATTGTTTTATATATTTGTACAACTTTAAGAAGGGTGGTTGAACACCTATGTTTTCATGCTTATTCCATTGTTTGGTTGTTAACATTTTAACACATTATTGTTTAGTAATGTTCTGTAAGACATAATTTTGAAGTTAAATTAATTAAGTCAGTGTTTACCCTGTATAGCTTATATTAGTACATCTATGTAATGTATTCTTATTCTGACAAACTATCCATACCAGTAAGCATTTTCTCACATACATACTAACTGTACTAAAAGTTTCTTTATCCTGAAATTGTAGTGAAGATGTAACCTCAATAGTTGATGTTGCCATTGTTAGTAATATAACTAACTGTTCAATGGTATTCTACAATTATACACAAGTTTGTAATGTCTGTGATTCCTGCTGTAGTCAGTCCTGCTCTAGTTTTGGAAGGAGTATTTGTTGTAGTCTTTGAAGAAGAACCTTTCCAAAACAGCTTGTTTGAACTTAAGGTTGAAAAAGACAGTTTCATGACCATGCCATCTATAAAGGTGTCATCAAGAAGGATTGAAATAATTTTCATGTCTTTGAAGGTGTAAACTACAAGTTTACACTGGTTACGACCAGTACAGAAAAACTTACCCTGAATTTAATAAAAAATAGTTTTGCAATTTGTCAAGTGTCAACTCTCCATCAACAAACTGTAGATAAGGGGCAGTGTCTGGGGTAATGTAACTGTTTTTTGCACTATAAGGACATTTGACCTCCACTAGTTCATCATCTCCAAGTAAAGCATCTGGAGAAGCTGCCAGATAGGGATAAGATTCACTGACAAGCACACCACATTTTTCAGCTTTTAACCCAGTAGATTTTTCACTCATTGCCACAGATTCATAAATCTTTCCATGGTGCAATAGTGCTGGTCCTGTTTCTTGATCTAAACACAAATTTCTATACTGTGTCAATGTCCTAGCTAAGTTTACCATATTGGTCAGAGCTGTAGCTTTACAAACTTCCAAAGCTGGATGAATGTATTCTTGTATATCTTTCCAAGAACCAGTTCTTGTTTGCAGTTTGAACCCTTGTATTATGTTAAATCTCTTTGATTTGATCATTATTTATCTTTGTTATGCACATGTCTTGCAGCCACTTATCAGATATCTTAATTTCAGAGTAGTCATGATCACTGTCCAATGCATATGGATTTGCAGGTTTGAATATCTGTGACACTGGATAGTCATGTACTTTAGTATGGTTCAACCATACAGACCTGAAGTGATCACTGTACCTGGTAACATTCCTATACTGTTGTGGTCTTGGGTCATAGTTAACTGTGAGGTTTTCATTTGCAAATGGAAGGTTGTTAGCTTTAATTGGGCTGCCATGATAGGGCTTACTTTTATGAAATGTCTGAAGCTTTTGAGTGCATGTTTTTTCTGTCACCAATTCTTTAAATAAGGAAAATTTTTATAACATGCATATAGAACTGCACACACATGCTTGCAATGAGCTTGGGGTCCCATACCTGCCGCACAGTCACACTGGCCCTCTAACACACAGCCAGTTTTGTCTAAGCACACATCAACAATACAGTGGAACCTCACCTAACGACCACCTCAAAATCCTTTGTCATGTTGACAAAGTTTTCAAACATGGCGGTTTTTTGTCAATACAAAATGCAAATCAGTTCAATATACAAAAATGATTTCTTTTCGATTTTCTGCAATGCAATTTGTATTCCGAATATACATAGACTTTTTTGTATTTCTCTAGTGGAAAGTGTTATGTTCAGATCTACCAGCTTCGTAATAGAAGAAGAAAAATATTAATTTTGTGCATAAAACAATTTTTTTTGGTGGATGTTTAGATATATAATATCACTCAAACCAAAAGCTTTGATTTCATTCACCTAAACATACCTTGTAGCTGTTTAGCCCAGGATGCTACAAACCCAATATCAGTTCCCTGGGTCATCTGGTTATTGAAATAAGTTTTTATACACATTTTACCCCTGTGACCTTGAAAGTTACCCTCCTGATTGCCATCTGCTATCCCCTCTTCAACGTTACCTGCTATTCCCTCCACGCCATTTGCTATTCCATCCACGCCATCTGCTATCCCCTCTACGTCATCTGCTATTCGCTCCTCGTTATCTGCTATCCCCTCTCGATCGCTATGTACTGTCTTACATTTGTTATCTACGCTCTGCCCTCCTAAGAACATGTTTAGTCCTCTTTCAGCTTTCTTTATCTGTTGATCACAAATGTAGACATTATACTACACCAAAAAGTATCAGGTTCCACAAAGTAATAAAAAGTTAATTGTCTAAAGCATTTGTGCAAAACCTTTGTGTAGATCAATTAAAATATAATGCAATCAGCATTCAAACTGACCTCACATCAAACCTACTGCTATTAGGGCTTTTGGATTTCCCTTCGTTTAAAATATTGTGCAAATTAATTATATATTAAACTGTTAAGTAAAGTCAAAATGGCATTAATGTTCCCACCGACCACCCATTAAGTCTTCTCTGGATGTGATTGTTAGATTATTAAACTGATTATTGAATCTGCAGTTATGCATATATATAGCTGATTTTAAATTATCTTGCTAGCATCACCATGCTTTGCAATACTGGTTTTCCAAGATGGTTTCCCTGCTGCAGAAAAAATTGGGACACCTTTTTGTAATATTAGTTATAGTTGGATTTTTATCTCCATCTTTCAGATTTCCTGTCAAAAAACAGTTCTGACAATATTATGTATAGTTATAAAATTAAACAAGAGGCCCAAATCCATCAAAATTCACTCGCTTGGTATTCCAGATGTCCATGGATCAAATATCTGAATACTGTCTTTTTTTCTCTCAAAACAATTCTAACCACATGTACTTTTTATGGAATATAAGGATGTAACTTTGTTTTCCTCCCTCTAGCTCACACATACTGAATTTAAGACAATCAAATTCAAAAGTCAAAATTTGATTGATGAACAGATAAAAAACGGTATAAAGTCTAAATTCTTCAAGCCAGGTGAGCTAAAAATGTTAGAATAAAATGTCAATACTGGACTTTAATGCTAATGCATAATTAAGCATTACTTGACAACATTCTTTAAATAATAACAGTTTCTTCGTTATTGATCTAAG